TATAGGTACAAAATGTAAAGTTTGTATAGGTACCAAATGTATAGTGTGTATAGGTAGAAAATGTAAAGTTTGTATAGGTACCAAATGTATAGTGTGTATAGGTATAAAATCTATAGTGTCTATAGGTACCAAATGTATAGTGTGAATGGGTACAAAATGTATAGTGTGCATTGGTACCAAATGTAGAGTGTGTATAGGTACAAAATGTGTAGGGTGTATGAGTACCAAATGTATAGTATGTATAGGTATAAAATGTATAGTGTATATACGTACCAAATGTATAGTGTGTATAGGTACCAAATGTATAGTGTGTATAGGTACCAAATGTATAGTGTGTATATGGCCATCTATAAACTTGCAGCGTATAGTTTCTGCTATAGTACAATCTTCTTTCAATTTCTTTACAATTGTCTCTAGGGCCAAGTTGAAATAAAATGGGGACAGAGCATTCCTTTGCTTAAACCAGACAGTTTTTTAAACGAATCTGAATTCCCCCCCCCCCGCCCCCTCGTGTGAGTTTCGGGGCCCCATTGTGGGGAAAACAATAGACCCACTGCCTCCCCAAAAGCATGTCGTAAGAGTCGACTAATTGGGGAGCTTCCTTTGAAATCAGAGTGCATTTGCCGGAGAGGCAAGGAACCAACAGTCTGTATTCAAGAGAATGAGATCTGTAAAACTGATGCACACGCAAGACTAAGGTTCTGGAGCAGGACTGCAGTTTAGTAGTGGACGAGCAACCAGAACTTTCCGTCAGAGTTTACAGCTGGTGAACGCGAAGAAGAAGAAGAAGAATCGGACTTCCTGCATATAAATGTTACTATATTATAAAGCAGCCACTCCGGCAAATAAAACAATGACTGTTTGACTTGAGCGATCAACAAACACATTTACTAACTCTAAAATTTAGGGATCCCGCCCAAAATTAATAAGTTATACCTTCAACTCAAGGGATGGTACCGAAAAATAAACCAATAATAATTTTCAGCAATTAATTAACGTGAGAGACCCAGCCTACATATTAATCATTTATTCATGGCATCAGATTTATTTTGTGTGTAATGTTTTACACCAACAATTGTCAATTAATCATTCTTTTAACTACAGGGGAACTGCCAAGGATCGATTTATTTAGAGAAACAATTGATCAATTTATTTCTCGAACTGGGTTGATCTCAATAATGTACTAATAATTAAATTTTTCACTGGATAAATCTTATCAAATGATTGGCCAACCATGGATTTTTGCACGAGTCTTAAGCTGCGCTTTTTTTATTTAATGACGTCATTCACTGCATAAGTACATCACCCTGAGAAAACGAGGCTGGCCGCCTCTAGTCTGGGAAGTTCCCCTAGGCAGATGTAAGGTCTGTGTGAAGAGAAGACTGAAGTTCGTGTGCAAGTTTTGGCTCTCATGCCAGTTCTAGAAGTCACACGTGACTCGGATTATTACCGTTCCTAGCCCAGCGGGATTATGATTTCATAAAGAAAGCGAAAGCAGTGCCTCCTAGACGTGAACCCGGATGTTCTCGGTTAAATTTAACGAAAATGGCAACTAAGAAATTTTATGTGATTGGCTGTGAGATAATAATTTTCTGCGACCATTAGCATTCCTTCGTTATACAATTCTTTTCCGATCGCTTACCCTCCGGCCGAGGACGCAGCAGGGAAGTTCTGAATTCTTTACTACCAATCCAAAAAGAAATTATGTGGTAATTATCTCTTAAGTTTTATGATTTCAGTTTTAGAGAAACTTAGGCGACACGGCTTGCGGGTCGGTATGAAACGATGATGGGAACTGCTGTGCTTGTAGAATTTTGGGGTCTCACTTTTAATTTTTCATTAAATGCTATTTATTTGTGGCTGGGGTGTATTAGGCACATATGGTTATGGTTGGTCTCGAATGTTCGCTTTCGTCTCACGCAGATAGAAGGTCGTGCGGCGGAGAACTTTTTTGACGAAGCTACGCGTAGTAATCCGCCCCTGGTTATTAAGTACGTACTGAAATTACAAATATCAGTACAATGAAATGTCTTCCGACTTGCGAAGACGACTATGCTCACGTATCTGTATACTGAAGCATTCACTGTACTAAAAAGGGACACACATAGCAGAGGCTAAAACAGAAAGAAGTAATGTGTGATAAGAATGTCACAAGGATACAACATAGATACAAATATTAGACTATACAATGTTTTTAAAATCAAAGTTCACTAGATTAAATTACAAACTGCAAAATACAAACATAGTCATCCTCAATTATGTAGGTCAAGTAAGCAAATAAGGATCTCTTTTGCACGCCTACAGACGTACTGGGCAAATAGGGCTAGACCAAAATTTTATAGACCAATCGTCACAAGGTGGGAGATATGGTCAACATCATGCCGACCGCCTTTACTTCCTATGACCAATTTACGGCTGGGTCCACCTGGGAGCCAAGCTCATATCGGTTTCGTTCAAACTCGAACCCAAAATCTTCAGACCCTCAGGCGAGCATTTAGCTGCTACACCAAGGCAGGATCCTCTTTAAATATGAGGGGATACAAAACATCTGAGTTTAGGGAGCCGCGGTGGCATAATGACGAGACTGCAGGCCCGGAGGTCTAGGGTTCAAATCTGCATCCAGAAGGGTTTTTCTCATAAAATTCAATTGAACTTGGCTGACGGTTCAACTTAGCCTATAATGTGTGCATGGGAAGTAAAGGCGACCTAGTAAATATTTTTTAATACTAAGTGTTCAGTCGAACAATGGCTGGTCACAATCAAACTGTTCCCTTTATTATGTTCACCTGTATGTTCGCTTGTGTGTTCTTATGACGGAACCCCCTCCCCCCTTCCTCCTGTCCACAGCGAGAGTGTCTCTTCTGTCCGTTATAAGAAAAAACTTAGTAACCGCCACTGTATATATATATATATATATATATATATATATATATATATATATATATATATATATATATATATATATATATATATATATATATATATATATATATATATATATATAAAGGTGGTTTCTAGTTATCAAAGAGTTTCAGCCTGTAATACACTGCTCCCTTTACAGATACTTGGTTGTTCCCAGCAATCTGTGAGCTGCAGTTCAATGATACACTGCTCCCTTTACAGATACTTGGTTGTTCCCAGAATTCTGTGAGCTACAGTTCAATGATACACTGCTCCCTTTACAGATACTTGGTTTTTCCCAGAATTCTGTGAGCTAAAGTTCAATAATACACTGCTCCCTTTACAAATACTTGGTTGTTCTCAGCAATCTTTAAGCTACAGTTCAATGATACATTGCTCCCTTTTCAGATACTTGGTTTTTCCCAGCAATCTGTGAGCTACAGTTCAATGATACATTGCTCCCTTTACAGATACTTGGTTGTTCTCAGCCATCTGTGAGCTACAGTTCAATGATACACTGCTCCCTTTACAGATACTTGGTTGTTCCCAGCAATCTGTGAGCTACAGTTCAATTATACATTGCTCCCTTTACAGATACTTGGTTGTTCTCAGCAATCTGTGAGCTACAGTTCAATGATACATTGCTCCCTTTACAGATACTTAGTTGTTCTCAGCAATCTGTGAGCTACAATTCAATGATACACTGCTCCCTTTACAGATACTTGGTTGTTCCCAGCAATCTGCGAGCTACAGTTCAATGATACACTGCTCCCTTTACAGATACTTGGTTGTTCCCAGCAATCTGTGAGCTACAGTTCAATGATACACTGCTCCCTTTACAGATACTTGGTTGTTCCCAGCAATCTGTGAGCTACAGTTCAATGATATACTGCTCCCTTTACAGATACTTGGTTGTTCCCAGCAATCTGTGAGCTACAGTTCAATGATACATTGCTCCCTTTACAGATACTTGGTTGTTCTCAGCAATCTGTGAGCTACAGTTCAATGATACACTGCTCCCTTTACAGATACTTGGTTGTTCCCAGCAATCTGTGAGCTACAGTTCAATGATATACTGCTCCCTTTACAGATACTTGGTTGTTCTCAGCAATCTTTGAGCTACAGTTCAATGATACATTGCTCCCTTTACAGATACTTGGTTGTTCCCAGCGATCTGTGAGCTACAGTTGAATGATACATTGCTCCCTTTACAGATACTTGGTTGCTCCCAGCAATCTGTGAGCTACAGTTCAATGATACACTGCTCCCTTTACAGATACTTGGTTGTTCCCAGCGATCTGTGAGCTACAGTTTAATGATACACTGCTCCCTTTACAGATACTTGGTTGCTCTCAGCAATCTGTGAGCTACAGTTCAATGATACACTGCTCCCTTTACAGATACTTGGTTGCTCCCAGCAATCTGTAAGCTACAGTTCAATGATACACTGCTCCCTTTACAGATACTTGGTTGTTCCCAGAGATCTGTGTGCTACAGTTCAATGATACACTCGTGGTAGGCATTACTGGCAGGGTATCCATGTTTTCTTGCTGTACTAATTAATTGCATGCGAAGGCATCGCGTGGCTGAGAATGATGTCCGATGTAAACAATTTATGTCTCCATGAACTTCTTTCTACTTTCACAAACTATCTTCCTAATTATGTATGCTCTCGTCTAAATTAAAACTAAAAACAACTTACAAGAAAAAAAACTCTGCAAAGTATTTCAATTTCTAATTTGTTATACATGATCATCGGGATCATCAATTTTCACTTCTGCCGTTTAGCGTCGCGAGAAAGAACAGTTTGCGACACGTTGCTGCATGGGCAGCAGTGGCTGTTGTCGTTCCGTGTGTTTGTTGTTTCAGAGATGACATAGTTTAGCGCCAACACACAGCTCTGAGACTCCTTTGACATGATTATTCTCTGTCTTCTTACAGGTAAACCTACGTGTGCCCAACTGTCTTCTCTACAACATGCATCAAGTCAACATCGCCATCTTCAGCAGTCTCAGCATCAACAGCACAACCAGCAACAGACGCAACAGCAGCAGCAGCAGCAGACCAGCTCCGAGTCGACACAGTTGGCATCCCAGCAGCAATCCAGCGGCCAACAGCAGACGCAGTACGCCAACACGCCATCTTTCCTTGATGAAACACATGTCCCAGCATGCACCGAGAAGGGAAAGTCCAAGTCTTCGTCCACTTCCTCTACTTCCGCTTCGTCGTCATCTTCATCCGGGTCATCCCATGATACATCCAACGGGGAGTGCACTCTTCTCAAACAGCGACAGAAGAGGAAGCCACGAGTCTTGTTTTCACAGGCTCAAGTTTACGAACTGGAACGACGATTTAAACAGCAGCGATATCTGTCTGCCCCAGAGCGGGAACAGATGGCAGCACTGCTGAAACTCACTTCCACCCAGATCAAGATCTGGTTTCAAAACCGCCGTTATAAATGCAAGCGTCAAAGACAGGACAAATCCTTGGAGCTTCAAGCGATGCAGCCGCCAAGGAGAGTCGCCGTTCCCGTGCTGGTGAGAGATGGTAAGCCGTGCATGGGGCCGCCACCAACTCCATATTCCGCTCCCTATAACGTCAACCCGTTTGCTTACAACACAACAACAACTTCGGGACCTTATTGTAACAGTGGTCACATGAGCTCGCATGTCCCCCAGCAAGCACAGCTACAGCAGCAGGGCTACGTACAGCAACAACTGCATCAAGGAATTCGAGCCTGGTAGTCCAAGGATTCCCACAGAGACAACAGAAATTCACACTGTTCAAGCTTAACTTTCACTAGACAAACATTGATCCACAGAAGCAGCCTCAGGAACTAACGGCGAGGCCAGAACGTGCCTCACCAGGCAAAGGTTTCGCCAAACCTAGGGCAGTCAGTGGTGATAGATAACTCTAGTGGCCCAGAATCAATGTCAGCCCATGGTGATAGATGATTCTATCGGCTGAAAATAAATATCACCCTGTGGTGATAGATGATTCTAGTGACTCAAGAGTCAATGTCGGACTCGACCTCATTTAGACTAAAGCGGCAAATCTGGGACAAAGTGGCCTCGCGTTCACTGTGTAAAATGCTTGACGTGAGCAACCTTCAGATTTAATGAAGATTTAATGAAGGAACTATCAGATTAGTCTCTGCGCCCTGGGCGTGTACAGTTCATGACCAAAGTCTCATGTGTTTATAGAACAAACGGCACTCGATGGTTGACATGATCATCATCACATGGACCAACTTAATGTCTCAGAAAATGTTCTGGTACATATTGTGAGGCTGGGTCCACCGAAGAGTAATTCCTGAAAGTCTGCCTCGAAGGGTACTGGAACCTCAGACCACTGGGCCGGGAGACAAAAATGCTTGAGGTGACCATCACGTCCCGGGAGAATCCCATTTGTCTGAGATGTCCCGACCCTCACCCTGCTACTTACAAGTCAATTGTCCCGTTTCATAAAAATCTTAGGAATAAGCCTGTGGACTGGCCATACATTTACAATTATAATTGAAGACCTTATTAGAGTTCATAATTTGTAGATACTTTACATGCTTGAAATGTGTTGGTGGGGATTTTCATTGCAGCATGTTTTTCGAGTGCACGTAACGAGAATATTATTTCGTTTATTTCTTGGCGACAACGGATCTGGTTTTAATACCGTTGTCGAGTGAGTCATTAGTTCCTTCCATCCCGGTGACCTAAAACATAAAGTGTAATTGGGGGGGGGGGGGTGGGGTGTGGGGGAGGGGGTTAGCTCGAAATATTAGTGGGATGTCCCTTTTTAATCCCGAAATATTAGTGGGATGTCCCTTTTTCATTCCGCAATATTGTTGGTATCATTTTTAGCTCAAGATATTAAGGTCTCCCTAAGTGTGGGTAACCTCTGCTCCTGAAGCTCCTCCGGAAAAAATAAAAATGTTAAGTCTAATATCTTTTTCTTCTTGGTGTTCACCGGCTGTAAACTCCCGCCTAAGTTACGGTTGTTCGTCCACTTCTGAACTTTGGTCTTGTTCCAGAACTTGAGTTTCAGATTTCCATTCTGGCTTATTTGTATGCAGACTGCTAGTTCCGGTACCCACACAAGGAAGCTCAATATAAAAGCTGTAAAAGATAACCCTAGCCAAACTGACGACCTAATTCTCATTTCTAATGTCACTGAAACTAGAAATCAGCCGATATTTCTAATGTCACTGAAACTAGAAATCAGCCGATACGTCTAATGTCACTGAAACTAGAAATCAGCCGATATTTCTAATGTCACTGAAACTAGAAATCAGCCGATACGTCTAATGTCACTGAAATTAGAAATCAGCCGATATTTCTAATGACACTGAAACTAGAAATCAGCCGTTATTTCTAATGTCACTGAAAGTAGAAATCAGCCGATATTTCTAATGTGACTGAAACTAGATATCAGCCGATATTTCTAATGTCACTGAAACTAGATATCAGCCGATATTTCTAATGTCACTGAAACTAGATATCAGCCGATATTTCTAATGTCACTGAAACTAGATATCAGCCGATATTTCTAATGTCACTGAAACTAGATATCAGCCAATATTTCTAATGTGACTGAAACTAGATATCAGCCGATATTTCTAATGTCACTGAAACTAGATATCAGCCGATATTTCTAATGTCACTGAAACTAGAAATCAGCCGATATTTCTAATGTCACTGAAACTAGATATCAGCCGATATTTCTAATGTCACTGAAACTAGATATCAGCCGATATTTCTAATGTCACTGAAACTAGATATCAGCCGATATTTCTAATGTCACTGAAACTAGATATCAGCCGATATTTCTAATGTCACTGAAACTAGATATCAGCCGATATTTCTAATGTCACTGAAACTAGATATCAGCCGATATTTCTAATGTCACTGAAACTAGATATCAGCCGATATTTCTAATGTCACTGAAACTAGATATCAGCCGATATTTCTAATGTCACTGAAACTAGATATCAGCCGATATTTCTAATGTGACTGAAACTAGATATCAGCCGATATTTCTAATGTCACTGAAACTAGATATCAGCCGATATTTCTAATGTCACTGAAACTAGATATCAGCCGATATTTCTAATGTCACTGAAACTAGATATCAGCCGATATTTCTAATGTGACTGAAACTAGATATCAGCCGATATTTCTAATGTGACTGAAACTAGATATCAGCCGATATTTCTAATGTGACTGAAACTAGATATCAGCCGATATTTCTAATGTCACTGAAACTAGATATCAGCCGATATTTCTAATATCACTGAAACTAGATATCAGCCGATATTTCTAATGTCACTGAAACTAGATATCAGCCGATATTTCTAATATCACTGAAACTAGATATCAGCCGATATTTCTAATGTCACTGAAACTAGATATCAGCCGATATTTCTAATGTCACTGAAACTAGATATCAGCCGATATTTCTAATGTGACTGAAACTAGAAATCAGCCGATATTTCTAATGTCACTGAAACTAGATATCAGCCGATATTTCTAATGTCACTGAAACTAGATATCAGCCGATATTTCTAATGTCACTGAAACTAGATATCAGCCGATATTTCTAATGTCACTGAAACTAGATATCAGCCGATATTTCTAATGTGACTGAAACTAGAAATCAGCCGATATTTCTAATGTCACTGAAACTAGATATCAGCCGATATTTCTAATGTCACTGAAACTAGATATCAGCCGATATTTCTAATGTCACTGAAACTAGATATCAGCCGATATTTCTAATGTCACTGAAACTAGATATCAGCCGATATTTCTAATGTCACTGAAACTAGATATCAGCCGATATTTCTAATGTGACTGAAACTAGATATCAGCCGATATTTCTAATGTCACTGAAACTAGATATCAGCCGATATTTCTAATGTCACTGAAACTAGATATCAGCCGATATTTCTAATGTCACTGAAACTAGATATCAGCCGATATTTCTAATGTCACTGAAACTAGATATCAGCCGATATTTCTAATGTCACTGAAACTAGATATCAGCCGATATTTCTAATGTCACTGAAACTAGATATCAGCCGATATTTCTAATGTCACTGAAACTAGATATCAGCCGATATTTCTAATGTCACTGAAACTAGATATCAGCCGATATTTCTAATGTCACTGAAACTAGATATCAGCCGATATTTCTAATGTGACTGAAACTAGAAATCAGCCGATATTTCTAATGTCACTGAAACTAGATATCAGCCGATATTTCTAATGTCACTGAAACTAGATATCAGCCGATATTTCTAATGTCACTGAAACTAGATATCAGCCGATATTTCTAATGTCACTGAAACTAGATATCAGCCGATATTTCTAATGTCACTGAAACTAGATATCAGCCGATATTTCTAATGTCACTGAAACTAGATATCAGCCAATATTTCTAATGTGACTGAAACTAGATATCAGCCGATATTTCTAATGTCACTGAAACTAGATATCAGCCGATATTTCTAATGTCACTGAAACTAGATATCAGCCGATATTTCTAATGTCACTGAAACTAGATATCAGCCAATATTTCTAATGTGACTGAAACTAGATATCAGCCGATATTTCTAATGTCACTGAAACTAGATATCAGCCGATATTTCTAATGTCACTGAAACTAGAAATCAGCCGATATTTCTAATGTCACTGAAACTAGATATCAGCCAATATTTCTAATGTGACTGAAACTAGATATCAGCCGATATTTCTAATGTCACTGAAACTAGATATTAACCAATATTGCTAATGTCACTGAAACTAGAAATCAGCCGATATTTCTAATGTCACTGAAACTAGAAATCAGCCGATATTTCTAATGTCACTGAAACTAGAAATCAGCCGATATTTCTAATGTCACTGAAACTAGAAATCAGCCGATATTTCTAATGTCACTGAAACTAGAAATCAGCCGATACGTCTAATGTCACTGAAACTAGAAATCAGCCGATATTTCTAATGTCACTGAAACTAGAAATCAGCCGATACGTCTAATGTCACTGAAACTAGAAATCAGCCGATATTTCTAATGACACTGAAACTAGAAATCAGCCGATATTTCTAATGACACTGAAACTAGAAATCAGCCGATATTTCTATAATTGCTTTAAATGATCGTCAAATGCGGCGTATTTTAGGACATACACTGTATTAGAATCAACTCGCAGTGACAGGTGCTAAAACACAATCTCGGACACTCTTTCACAAGCCGGTCAAGCTCACAGCGAGCACTGAAACCTTATCAACGTTCAGGAGAACAGTGGTATAGCGGCTAGACTCTCGCCTCCGCATGCGAAGGTCGTGGGTTCATGTTCTGTCAGAGCCAGTCTTTTTTTCGAAAATGACATTGGCTCCCAGGTCGACCCAGCATTACATGGGCAACAGGTAAAGTCCTTGGAAGTAAAGGCAGCTGGTGTGATGTTGACCACATCTCCCACCTAGTGCCAATTTGTCTTTGGAATACAGGCCGAGCCCTATATGCCCAGTGTGCCCGAAGATGTGGAAAAGGGTCCTTCACTCTGATTGGTATAAAAACACCAGAAAGTCTACAGTCTCTAGCTCTATTTCACAAGACAAGCAAACGTACAGTAATGACTGAAACTTTGTCAACCTTCTCTACATTTGAGACTCTGACGATGCTGTTTCTGCGGATCTGCGACCAAATCAAGTCGCTTACATCAACTACATGTCAAGCAAGCAGATCTCGCTGC